AAGGGGGGAGGGGGAGGGGGGGAAAAAAAATATTGGGGGGGGGGGGGGGGGGAAGGTGAACTGGCTGGGTATCGATTTTTGCCTTGTTTTAATGGTTCCTACTTTTCTTGGGGATATTTTTACCTAAAACTGGACAGTTTCCCGGTTATTCCAATTGAATCGGTTGAATTGGTCAGGTTTTGACAACATTGCTTATCATTTCCTAGAATTACACCAATGCTCTTTTGGTTTGTCTAGGCTAACAGTCACTAATTTTCTATGCCACTATAAACTCTGCTGTCTTAGGCAAGATCCTTGTGTAGAGTACTTTATTTTATTTTTTATAGGTAATCAAATATTTTATTAATCACGGATAATATATAGCAGTGTATTATCAATTAACACAAGAAAGAAACAACTTAAAATTAGGTAACTCGTCTATATGAGTAAAAACCGTAGTATTAAACCAATTATACAATGTCATATAAAATAATTCGTTAATTTGCTCAGTTGTTCGTGTACGATCATCAAAACAACGGTTGTTTTTCTCCCTCCACACACACACACCAGACGATGCATTTTGGAATAAGATCCCAGACAATTGTGCTATCCTTATTACGAAATTTTTTCCTCCATGCTTTCAGTACATCCTTCATACGCCGCGGAAACATCCAATCCATGTGTTGAGAAGTCAGAATGTCGTTCCACAGGGAGCGAGCACCTTCACAATAAAGAAACAAGTGGTCAATGGTCTCCCCATTCTTCCTACATATATAACACCATTTCGTAACATAAAAACCCCTTATTCGGAGGTCATCCATTGTTAACACCTGTCCCCTCACAACTGTCCATAGTAAAAATACCACCCAAGGAAGCAGTTTACATTTTCATACCATCTTCCAGGGGAATGAGCTCTCCACAGGTCCCAATAATGATCTAAACTAAGTGCCAACTGAGAAGATACCATCCCGTGCCAACCTCCACCTGCTACAATCGCTCTATCTGACCTTGATGTGCACCTCAAAAGCAACGCATAATCATCCAACTCCCAATCCTACAAACCCCTCCCAAAAACAATGTTCCAACTTAGATTTTCATTATGTATATGTAAGACCATTCACCATAGCAGATAGCCTCAAAGCAACACGGTATAGAGAAGGAAACTGAACTCTCAATGGTCGACTTCCACACCAACAATCTTTCCAAAATCTGATAGCATTGCCATTTCTGACCTTTACGTCAATCTATCTCGAAAGTCTCTCCACCCTCGTCGGATACACCTCCATAAGCTTACCCCATAAGGACCACAATTCATGGCTGAGCACCATCTCCCCTCCATAACACCATATTTCGCCTCTATAGTTCCTTTCCAAAAGCTCTCCCTCTCCACGCCGAATCGTCAGAGCCACTTGCCTAGCAAAGCCTTATTAAACAATACCAGACTCCTCAGTCCAAGGCCCCCCATCCTTAGCGGAGAACAAATTGTACTCCAATTAACCAAATGAAGTTTTCTCTCCTCCCCTAACTCTCCCCATAGAAACTCCTCTAATCTTTTTGCCACTGAGACGGGAATAGGAAACAATGATAAGTAGGGAGATTCGATAGGGTGGACTTAATGAGGGTAAGACATTCTCCCTTTAAGAGGTACATACGCTTCCAACCTGCTAATCCCCTCTCCACCTTTTCTGCAATACTGTTCCAAATGTGTATATTTTTAAAACGTGCTCCTAAAGAGAACCTAAGGTATGACATAGGCAGCTGTGCAACCCTACAACCCAATATGGCCACCAATTCCTCTACGTTGTTAACATCTTCTATTGTGATAGCCTCAGATTTTCCCAAATTTATCTTCAAACCAGATACAGCTTCAAAGCATAAAAGCAGACGACGCAAGTTCCTAAATTGCTCAGCATTTGCATTACAGAAGATCAATGTGTCATATGCAAATAGCCAATGAGATCCCCGCAATTGGTCAACCATAAAACCCCTCAACAAACTCTCCTTCACAGCCTTCTCAAGCATCCTACTGAACGCCTCCATAACGATAACAAACAGCAATGGAGACAAAGGATCCCCTTGCCTCAAACCTTTGCTACTCCGGAAATAACCCTCGGGAGTGCCCTTCACCAAAACTGAAAAGGAGACCGTAGAGATACAAAACTGAATCCATCGGCTCCATTTATCCCTGAAACCACATTGCTTGAGCATATACAAAAGGAATTCTCAGTTCACGTGATCATATTCTTTCTGAATATCGAGCTTACATAACATCCCTGGAACCCCGGTTCGCAATCTGGAGTCAACACATTCGCTTGCTATAAGTACGGAATCCAAAATCTATCACCCTTTGACAAACACGTTTTGAACTTTAGACACCACTTTCCTCAACACGTCTTTTAATCCATTTTCAGCACCTTTGCAATAATTTTGTACACCCCACTTACGAAGCTAATAGGACGAAAGTCTTTAACAGCTATCGCTCCCAATTTTTTTGAAATCAACACAATGAATGTAGCATTAGAACTTCTAAAGAATCTATCACACTGAAAGAAATAAGTAAATACCCCCACAATGTCTAGCCACACCACTTCCCAACAAGCCTTATAAAATGAAAAAGAGAAGCCGTCCGATCCTTGTGCCTTATCGTCATTCATGCTGAACACTACCTCCTGAATCTCATCCTCCCCAAATGGTCGCTCTAACCAGCTGGCATCCTCCTCAGTGATAGTAGAAAAATCTAACCCTCCAACTCGGGCCTCCAGTCAAACTGCTCCCTATAAAAATTTTGATAGAAACTCACCATTTGAGTTTGTCTTGTAGGTCTTAAGTAACTCTATCTACCTCCACTATAGTGATATAATTGATGCGCCTGTAGGAATTAGCGACCTTGTGA